TAGATTTTTGAGTTTTAGAGAGGGTATGCCACCTTTTGCTAATAAGAAAGTATACCTTAAATTTAGTTCTGAACAACTTTAATTAATAACTCTTGACGAAAATATCATCTCAAAATTTAATAATTTGCTTGGGACCGATTGGGACCGTTTAAGGACCGATGCAACCCTGCCTGTAGGACATCCGGACATGTTTATCATGTTCTAGTAGTAGATTTTTACCCAATCGTAGTTTAGCAAATAGATCACGTGCTGTCATCCATGGTGATCGAAACTTGCATAGACGCTACGCTCCGGACATTTAATTCTTAAATTTATAATAAACCAATAACTAAATGAAACTTTTAATCAAATTTATATGAACTTAATTATTAGAACGTAAGTAATAAATTTTAAATTTAATAGTCTATAATTAAATGTAACTTTCTAAATTTAGTAATTTCTAATTGATTTTGTATAAATTAAATTAATAGCTCGTGAGTATTAATTCTTAAATTTTATAGTAATATATAACTAAATGAAACTTTTCTGATCAAATTTATATGAATTTAATTATTAGAATGTGAGTAATAATTGTTAACTTTATAATAGTCTATAATTTGTTTTTCTAATTTGATGAAATTTTCTAATCGATTTTATATAAATTAAATTAATAGCTCGTGAGTATCAATTTTTTATATTTTATAATAAACTTAACAATGAAACCTTTTAATCAAATTTATATAAATTTAATTATTAGAACGTGAGTAATAATTTTAACTTTACAATAGTCTATAATCAAATGAAACTTTTCTAGTTTAGTGAAACTTTCCAAAAACTATTTTTACATAAATTTATAGCTCGCGAGTATTAATTCTTAAATAAATAATAATCTATAACTAAATGAAACTTTTCTAATCAAATTTATATGAACTTAATTATTAGAAAGTGAGTAATAATTGTTAACTTAATATATTAAATGAAACTTTTCTAATTTGGTGAAATTTTCTAATCGATTTTATATAAATTAAATTAATAGCCAGTATGTATTAATTCTGAAATTTTTGTAATACTATATAATCAAATGAATTTTTTCTAATCAATTTTATATTAATTAAATTAGTAGCTTGTGAGTAATAATTTTTAATTTTATAATGGCATATAATTAAATGAAACTTTTCTAATTTAGTCAAATTTTCCAATCGATTTTATATAAATTAAATTATAGCTCGTAAGTATCAATTATTAAATTTTATAATAATCTATAACTAAACGAAATTTTTCTAATCAAAATTATATGAATTAAATTATTAGAACGTGAGTAATAATTTTTAACTTTATAGCAGTCTATAATAAATGAATTTTTCCAATTTGGCGAAATTTTCTAATCGATTTGTATAAATTAAATTAATAGCTAGTAAGTATTAATTCTTAAATTTTATAATAATCTATAACTAAATGAAACTTTCTAATCAAATTTATATGAATTAAATTATTAGAACGTGAGTAATAATTTTTAACTTTATAGTAGTCTATAATTAAATGAAACTTTTCTAATTTGATGAAATTTTCTAATCGATTTTATATAAATTAAATAAATAGCTAGTAAATATTAATTCTTAAATTTTATAATAACATATAATCATATGAAACTTTTCTAATCGATTTTATATCAATTAAATTAATAGCTCGTGAGTATTAATTTTAACTTATAGTAGTCTAAGATTAAATGAAACTTTACTAATTTAATCAAATTTTCTAATCAATTTTATAAATTAAATTAATAGATAGTAAGTATTAATTCTTGAATTTTATAATAATCTATAACTAAATGAAACTTTTCTAATTAAATTTATATGAATTTAATTATTAGAATGTGAGTAATAATTTTTAACTTTATAGTATATCGTCTATAATTAAATGAAGCTTTTCTAATTTGGTGAAATTTTCTAATCGATCTTATATCAATTAAATTAATAGCTAGTAAGTATTAATTCTTAAATTTAAATAACAATCTATAACTAAATGAAACTTTTCTAATCAAAATTTATATGAAATAAATTATTAGAACGTGAGTAACAATTTTTAACTTTATGGTAGTCTATAATTAAATGAAACTTTCCTAATTTTATGAAATTTTCTAATCGATTTATATCAACTAAATTAATAGCTAGTAAATATTAAATTTTTAAATTTTATAATAATTTATAATTATATGAAACTCTAATCGATTTTATATCAATTAAATTAATAGCTCGTGAGTATTAATTTTAACTTATAATAGTCTAAGATTAAATGAAACTTTTCTAATTTAGTCAAATTTCTAATCGATTTTATATAAATTAAATTAATAGCTAGTAAGTATTAATTCTATAATTATCTATAACTAAATGAAACTTTTCTAATAAAATTTATATGAATTTAATTATTAGGAAGTGAGTAATAGTTTTTAACTTTATAGTAGTCTATAATTTTCTAATATGGTGAAATTTTCTAATCGATTTTATATCTAATAGCTCGTGAGTATTAATTCTTAAGTTTTTGTAATAATCTATTATCTAATGAAACTTTTCTAATCGATTTTATTTCAATTTAATTAATAGCTTGTGAGTAATAAAATGCTATCTTTATACTAGTCTATAATTAAATGAAACTTTTCTAATGTATTAAATTTTCCAATCGATTTTATATAAATTGAATTAATAGCAAGTAAGTATTAATTCTTAAATTTTATAATTAAATAAAATTTTTCTAATTAAATTTATACGAATTTAATAATTTATGATTAAATGAAATTTCTCAAATTTTAGCTCGTGGGTATTAATTCTTAAATTAAAATTTTATAATAATCATACTAAATAACGTTTTTCTAATCATTTTATACGAATTTAATTATTAGCAAGTAAGAATTTTTAGATTGAAACTTTATAATAATCTATTAAATGAAACTTCTCAATTCAATAAAATTTTCTTAATCAATTTTATATAAATTTAGCACGTAAGTATTGTAGTATTAATTATTAAATTTAAATTAAAATTTAATATAATAATATACCAAATAAACAATCAAATTAAATTTTTAGCCAAACCTAAGGGTGAGTTCAAATTAATTTATAAATTGAAATCTTAATCTCACCATCCAATTAATTTTATATAAATTAAAATTATTAGACACAGATAAAGACGGTAAGTTTAAAATTAATTTATAAATTGAAGTTTTAATAATAGACTACTTAATTAATTTTATATAAATTAATTATTTGACAAAGACAAAGAAAATCAAGACAGTAAGTTTAAAATTTATTTATAAATTGAAATCTTTAATAATAAACGAATTAATTTTATATAAATTATATTATTAGACGATGACGATGACGATTAGTAGTTCAAGAGAGGTGTGTCTAACATTAATTTATACTATAATTGAAATTAATAATAAATTATCTAATCAATCCTATATATATTAAACGTTAGCTCGTGAGTATTAATTCCTAAATTGATATATTATAGTAATATATAACTAAAAAAAAACTTCTATTTAATTTGTGAATTTAATTATTAGCCCGTGAGTATAGAATTGATTACAGATATTGTTGTAATCTATAAGTAATTAAAACTTTTTTAATTATTATATATATATATATATATATAATTAAAATTTTACAATGCTCTGAAATTGAATTAAAATTTATAATTAATACAACATATTAATTTTATTTTATTTATTTATTAATACTATGTTTTTAGGTAAATGATTTGAAATTTTTGTTTTTTGGTGCTATTATGGCACAACTATATAGTGAGAATTGTTATCTTGTTGAAGTTCTTAATAATACCTTATAATTCTTAATATATTGATACTAAATTTTATAATTAATATAAAAATTAATTTGATTTTATTACTATGTTTTTTTGGTAAATAATTTAAAATTGTTTTTGGTGCTATTAAATAATACAATTATAGAAGAAATGTTGTATCAAAGTTCTTAAGTGATTCACAACTTCTAATATATAGATATAAGTATTAAAAAAATAGTTATCAAATTATATAGGAATTACCTTTCGTAAGCAAACCTGCCCATTTTATTTTATGACTTTATAGTTTTGTAAGAGACTTTTTATGAGGTTCTAAACTAAATTATTAATAATTTTTTTTATTAGATTAATGTTATTTTATGCTTAAAAGATAACATAATAAAAAGATTTAGAAATTTTCTCTAAACGCTTTTTTATTCGAAAGATAAATTATCAGATCCTTCTTCGCTCAGATAATCATTGCTTTCTTTCTTTCTTACTAGTTTCATATTAAATTTAATTAATTAAATGGTCTCATACCATCAATTACCAAATTGTCTTAATCTAATACCCGCATTAATTACTTTGAACAACTCATTTTCTAAATTTTCATATTTATTAAGCATTCAAATTAAACATTCCTAAACACAGTACATATGTTAAGTCTAGTATATGAGATTATATTTTTTAAAAATGATAGGTATTTTTTAACGTGTTCTTTCTTATTATGTAAACCATTTATTAACAATACTTCTTATAATCACTTATTAAATTAGCTTTGGAAGTTTCTCTAAATCAAGAATGCTAAATGAATATAATATGTAACTTTCGACTTTCGTGCTCATAAAATGAAGATAGGAGAGATAATATGTAATGCTCATAAATTCAAATAGCTTATCTCAATTATCAATAATCTTTATACTTACTGTAGAGATGTTAACTGTCTAGTCTGGTCTATTTTGATTCAATGTTGGTCTGGTTTATTATAGTCTATAGCCTTAAGAGTTGATTAGACCAAGCTGGTCCAGACCGGTCTGGTCTGAATATTAAGTACAGGTCAATTTATTCCAGATTCAAGCCGGTCTTAAGATTAACACAGGTCGAACTTCTGAGATATTGGCGGAATATCAGACATTTATAAAGCCAATAGCTGCCCAAGATTTGGTGCGTATTGCTACCCATTGGATAGATATAGCATCCGATAGGCATATAGAGATCTGACATTTTTATTAGCAAAATATCAAATATCTGATATTTTTCGATAGAAATATCAGATTTCTAATAGACCTATCAGATGTAATATCTATTTGATAGGTTGCAATACGCGCCAAATATCTGGTCGTCGTCGGCTTTATAAACGTTCGATATTCCGCTTATATCTCATGTAATTGTAAAATTTCATAAATATTAATAAATCATCTCAATTGCACAATGGGTTGGTTAATTCATCGTGGTGAATTTACGTAATACCTTAAAATCCGAATCCATTTTATTGGTTACTTCATTCATTATACTGGTATATCGCAAAAATATATTTAATTATAAAACTTTTAATATTAGCAGATATAAAAAAAAAGGTCCTGTTTAAGGACTTTCACCCACCCATACATATATAGTTATAAAAAAATTTTTATTATTAGCGGAGGTGGTAAAAAATTTTTCTGATTAGGAACTTTTCACCCACCCGATATATTATTTTGGCAACTATGTTTGTTATCATTTTTATTAAATATATTTATTATTCGAAAATATATTTTAAAATTTGAGAACATTAATTTCAAATCGGATTTCCTACACAGCAATATCCAAAATCTTCACTCACTTCATCAGCAGATAATTGCCAATTGAAATAACGAAAATTGCTATTAGATTTTAAAAGATTATTTAATATTATTTGTTATTTAAATTAAATTCACTACTATAATAACTCATACCTGATTTCGCCATTAAATCCAGCATGAAAAGGAGATTTTCCGATATACAGTGGTCCGTCATTAAAGAGGATATTTTGCCTTTTAACGTCGTGGATGCAGAAGAATCCAGCCAATTCACCATTTATGTAAATATCTAACCTTTTTTTGGGGTCAGAAAGTGTATAGGCTATATGATACCCTTTTTGCAACAAACGTTCATCAGTCGTCATAATCCCAACATCCGCATTCCAGCTGCCTGTGAATCGAGCGTACAATGCGGATTTTTGTGATGTAAACCATAATCCTGGTGTACAGATGAAATTTTCGGTATGTTTTTCATTATAAGACTGTAAAAGAATCATTGAATAGCATAGTAATTAAACAAAATATTATGATTTTTACCTTTATAGAAAACGGATGCCCAGTCAGATGCATGATGATGTAATTTTATTCTCAATGCTATTGACAATTCATCCTTTACTACGGGTAGGTCGGCATGTTGAACGACTTGTCCTTCTTGATATCCAAAAGTAACAGGATTTGAAATAATTTCTACCCACTCTTAACTATAAATTTTTTCATTTTCTTAGAAAATAATAATTTTTTTATTTAAATAAATATAAATTAATTTGTAAAAATTATAATCTTTTAAATAAGATAATAACATTTATTACTTCTGAGAAAGCTTATCGAATATTGTAAACTCAAATAGAAATGGACGTTTACGTACTATTAATTAAGAATACACTGACTTTTCTCAGACATTATTTCTTAATATGTATTAATTAATCTTTGTGTAGCAATTACTATTTATAAATCGTTCAATAGACAAATACTTAAGAACAATCTTAAACAATGTGAATCGGTTAAATAATATATTAGTGTTAAAGAAAATGCGATCTCCAGAATTAGAAGTTTTTTGAGTTACATAAGAACCATAAAGATGTATCGTGAGAAGATAAAAATGCATTATTGCTGATTTTAATCTTATAATATATGTATAGTACATGTTGTTAAAACCAAGTTATTGTCAAATGACACATGAAAATTTCAGAAATACTATATTATTAATGAATTTTAGTAAAATATGCAATAGTTATTACACATTTTATCATAGCTATCATTAAACATCACGGATCAATCGAGATATTATTCAGTATTGCGGCGCAGCCGCAATGATGAATGATATCCGTGATTTTAATGATATCGACGACAAATAACTGTTTTATTTCACGGATCCTAATTTTCACCCATGACTTTTTTTTACTGATATTCTCACGGTTGATATTTTCACAGCGGACTAATACGTATTAAACCGTGAGAATATCAGTAAAAAAGGTCATGGGTGAACAATTAGGAGCCGTGTAATAAAATAAACAATATTAACATTAACATTAAATAATATCTGATTATATGATGAAATCCACTTCACAAATATCAAAAAACATAATGATATTTCAACGGTTGAATTCACTAATACACCCTCTCAACTGAAGTTCAAATTTTACCCCAAACAAAGAATTAGATTAATTTTAACAGAAAAATAAAATTCTTCAATTCAATATCTTGTTTCTTTCACCTAATTTATAATACTTTTTTATAATATTGTAGAAATTTATACAGATTAATAGTACGTAAAAAATTTATATATTTTCAGGAAATAGGCGAGATTATTTATGATTTCTTTTGGGAAATATCAATAGGACCCTCATAAACAATGTATGAAACACTATCGAGAGTGTCGTTACTAAATAATATGTTAACATATGCATGATTAGAGGATCTGCCGGGTAAAACATGCAACATAACATTAAAAAAACAGACCTATTAGCAGAAAATCCAAAGTCTGCAATTATCTCTGCTATATATGCAACCCATACAGCACGTGCATGCTTATACGTTCTTTCATAAGCATTATTCATGAGTGCGACTGTCATATGATAAAAAGAGTGTTAGTAGCTGTTAAAAGACCAAGAAATAATTAGTTACGTACTTAGAATATTCAAGATTATAAGGCTTGTCATAAATGAGAAAATATTCCTGAGAATGTCCAACAGGGGATTATCTGTCCATGGAGACAGAGAACTATAGTCACCCTGAAGCATTAACCAAACATTTTTAAGTGATTTTCCAAAATTTATAAATGTATTAGGAATATCATTATTATCAGGTGGCAAGTCTGATAAGTAAATCAAAAATGTATGGGCGAATGAGACCAATATGACGAGTAAAAACAGAAGAAGGTATATGATCTCAAAGATAATCACTTCAAAGACTTTATACAATAAGAAAAAAAAATTAGTAATTATGCTATTTTTGATTAAAAGCAGATTTAAAAAAATTCTTACTTGCAATAAAAATCCCAACTTCCTTAATGTAACGAAGTTGTAAAGCCATAAACGCCCACAAGAATAGGACGGAAAGTGCTCGTAACTCCATAGGAGCAGAATTATTATGAAATTCTAGAATTACAGTGATAAGTGGAAGAAATTTTGATGCAAGAATGATGAATGTATCCATTGATTTAGCAATTGTGCGACGAAATTTCTTTTTATGAAATAATAAATATCTAATATACGTATAATAAATTTGATAAAATGAATAAGCAATTGTAAGTGAACCAAAAAATAAACTTGCAATCATCAAATTTCTATTTCCGGTGGCGAAGTGTTTTGTTGTATAGAGCACCAAAGCAAAGAGGGTAAAATAGATAAAGTGATAAAGAAGCATCCCAGAATATAAGCCATCTATGAGGTAAGACTTTCTCTGAATGATAATTGCTTCAAAAACTGGTGATTGACAAATTTCAACCGAACGAAGGGTAGCTAATCTCTCAAAAATACTAAGATTCGATAGAGGTGAGTCACTAGGATATATTGGTTTGTTAAATAAACCAGGCAATGGCGTATAATATTTTGTTTTTTGGTCTACGTTTGCTCTTTCCAAATATTCGGTCAAATATATTTTTTGATGGTCGAATAGACGTGTCTAAAATCTTAACAGTTCCAAATTTCATAATACATTCAAAAGTTTCCGTCTTTTTAGAATTTTTAAAAGTTTTTTTCTCTTTTAAAGCTTTTTCTAATTCTGGTGGGAGCTTAAGGTAAGTACATTTTTTTAAAAATTCGGATAATAAATCCGGGTGATGGCTGGCAAGTCCAGGAAGATCTTCAACAATTTCGGACATAAGATAATATAATACACTTGGATTATTGACAATTTTTGGCGACTCTTTAACAATTGCAGACATAAATTCATATCGAAATTCTTTAAGCTTACAAAGCTCTTCAATGATTTGGGATATATCGGCAGATGATAATTCGGATGAATTTTCTAGAATTATCTTAATAACTGTAGACGTAATTTCGGATACAGTTGTATGTTTAGAGTCAAGGTTCTGAAGCTCTACTAACGTAGTCTTTGATATATTTGAATATTGAGAGTTAATCTCTCGAAACTTTTCAGCAATTGCAAACAAAATTTTAGACACATTTATATATGGGTTAATATAATTTTCATCCTTAGTTTCATCTTCCGAATCAATTTCTTCTTCTTCGATCACAATAGTCTCAACTTTATTATCAGGCTGTCCTTCCATATTGTGAGTACAAGTTTTGAAAACTTTTCATGAATGATAACATCATTTCCATTCATATATACGAAATTCACAGCAATCACTGCCAAAAATACAAATCATTTAGGAAGCATAATCGTCGTAAACCGCAAAATAACACAGTTATTATATGCTACGCAACCAATAACATGCTTTATTATATGATTTTAGTGCAAACATTTTCACATGTTATAACGATCAAAATGATATTTTGAGTATGATATGTTGTCACGATGTATATGAATTTAAGTGCAAAGTTAATAAGATTAAGGTGAGTTCCTATATTAAGTATTAACGGAATTACTACAGACTTTTGACTTACTATCTGCGATTTAAATTTACTAGAGCAGTACATAGCCCTATTTTTATGTATTATAATCCCTAAGTGCATGGTATACGAAAAACTCCTCTAAGTGCACGCCCCTCTTGGTCCCAAATAATATAATAATTATAAATTTGACCCCTCTAAATGCATACCTAGTGATATAGCCGACCCGTAACTTCATGAGCCGGGGCCGATTAAAGTAAAATAAAAATTTTCTTTTTAGCAAAAAATTTGCAAAGCGCATCATAAAATTGAGAATTGAAGCATTATTTTTAATGATTAAAAATTCCTGATTTTAAATTGTTTATTTCAACTTGTTAGACTTGCATAGATTCATAAATTCTACAAAATACATAGTGAACTCTCATTATAGTGAACTTTAGTTATAGTGAACTCTCGTTATAGTGAAGATTCGATATAATGAAGAATTTTTTGAATTCCGGAATTACCGTTTAGCACTGCATAAAGTATTGGAGTGTCTATCATCGGTCTACAGTAATTACAAACATAGTGCAGGTCATAGTGTTGATCACTAATTAAGATTTTTTATAGTGTGCTGCAGATCAACGGTAATTTAATAGTAGAAACATAGAAAGTTCAAGCTGCAATAACTTTTGAACCAGAAAACCCACACAAATAAAATTGTAATTGTCGGGTTTGTCATGATGTTCTCTTTAACATGACAACGCTCTTTTTTTCTTTATTTTTATTGTCTGGAGCGTAACGGAGGAATAAATTATTACAAATATTCTCGTTTTTGATGTTTACTAATAAAAATATCAAAAACGTAACTTTATATTTTTCTGCGCATATTGACACGATATGCAATAGCTACGTTTTTGATATTTTTATTAATAATAAATCAAAACAAGAATTTTTTATCACATTATTCTCCCGCTGCACTCCAGAAAACAAAAATAAAAAAAAAAGAGCGTTGTCACGTTAAAAAGCACATTATGACAAACCTGACAAATATAATTTTATTTGTGGGTTTGCTGGTTCAAGAGTTATTACAGCTTGAACCTTCTATGTTTTTACTATTAAATTATCGTTGATCTACAATACACTATAAAAAATCTTAATTAGTATGACCTGCACTATGTTTGTAATTAGACTGATAATAGACACCCTAATAAAGTATCCCCTTCGAATAATATCCTACCACATAAAGTGCCACCAATGAAGTCGCCGGATTCGTGAATAGTACCAGCACTATTCAATTTTAAAAAATGGTGTTCTTGAAAAAGACCCAGGGTACTGTATGCAGTGCTAAACGGTACTTCAATTTGATATAGTGAAGTACATATAGCATTCTCTCAATATAAGCTATAGTGAAGATTTTTTTCTCAACTTGGGACTTCACAATAACAAAGTAAGCGTATACCTGTCTGCTTGCCTTCCGTATTTTCCTAAATTAGCAAACTTTTATAAGTTACATCTTGCACTGTTTGGTTCGGAGAGCAACGCATAATAAATGCGTAACGTAGCTCCAACCAATACTTGAAATTTTGAATGGTGCAAAGTTTCTAATGGGTATAATAATTCCGTAATAATGGTGTGGACTTAATGAAAGAGGATCACTATGACTACACTACTTTATGATAAAACCGAGATCCTTCTTAAAATATGTTCTTCGCGCTAAACGTTTTGATTAATATGAAAGAACCTACTATATTTATCAGAGGCATTATCATGTTAGCCTTGTATCAATATCAATATTGTACACTTCATACTATGGACTTCAACAATCATGATATTAGGGTTATAAAACTAATTCATTGCATATTACGTGCGTGGCTTATCTGTGACCGGGCCGCACTATATTAGTGTCAGCCCCGGCCCAAAGTTTTGTTATCGGCCCATATCACTTACTGTGGCGTGCACTTAGAGGGGTGCGACTGTATCATGTTTTGGCCCATATACTGTATAAGCATACTATTCACAAGCGACACTAAGGATTACAATATATAGTCAAATCTCACCTCCTACATAAGCACATTTTCTTTATAAGCATATTTTTTTAAAAACAAACTATATATTATTAAAATAATAAATTTGACCTCTATAACTGCCATACTTCTCTATAATCACATTTTTGTACACCAAGTGTATGATTATATAGAGGTTTGACTGTACATATATCGTACGTACGTACGTACGTACAGTACGTAAGTGGAAATGGAATTTAAGTGGATTTGGAATTTCCTAGCGCTAGTTAGATTAGCATTAGGGTGTACATATGATAAAATCAACCTCGAATTGGGAGTTTTTAATATAAATTCCCAATTTACAACATACGTATATATCATAGAATATTTGTGAATTTACTAATTTGGTTATGAGTACGGAAAGAACAAAGCAGAATAGATAAAACCCGATCGACTATTGTGATAGTTATATAAAGATTTGCAATCATAATAAATTTATTCCTTCAAGTTGACAGTAGGTCAACAGATCGAAAAGCTAAGCAGTGATGCATTAGCAAGCGACGATCACATGGGTGATCCTGGCTCTAACAAGAGAATCCGGTATATGCAAGGAGGAAGATAAGTATAGATTTAATGAAATTACTAATTTAGGAGTTT